TTTTTTTTTTTTTTTTTTTTTGCCTAGGCCAATATCCAGAATAATTTTTCTAAGTCTTTCTAAGAATTTTTCTAAGTTTTTCTATTCTTTTTCTAAGAATATTTGTAGGTTTAGGGCTTAGATGTAAGTCTTTATTCCATCTTGAGTTAAGTTTTCTATATGGTGACAGGAATTCAGTTTTATTATTCTACATGTGGCTAAACAATTTTTTAGTGTCATTTATTGAATAAAGTGGGGTTTTTTTAGTGTATGTTTTTGTCTGCTTTGTTGAAAATTTACTGCTTGTGTTTGGCTTTATTTCTGATTTATCTATTCTATTTTTGGAAATAAGAAAAAAATGTTACGCGAAAGTGAATCTATGTATCTCCTAAGAAGTACACATTTTATAAGCCGCATTCTTTACACCCCACACAAGACACACAGAAATTTAGAAAATGAAAGTTAGATGTAAAATTATAGAAACTAAAGTAAAGTTAGAGAGAACTCTGCTCTTCCCTGAGAGCCCCCTGAGGTCATACAGTGCTGCTTTCCAGGAAACGCTTTCTCAGTCACTGCCCAGGTAGCCAACTGAGCCTGGGCTAGGGAAAGTGACTGTACTGTCCTGTGAAATCTCATCTTCTTTTTTCCTCACCTCACAAGTGCCATTCCTGGGCAGGGCCCAGACTATTCTATCTCTAAATATCGAGATGAGAAGAATGAGGAAAGAAGACAGCCACAAAGAAGAAGAACCAGAGAAACAGTGAGTAAAGAAGAGTTAGGAAAACCAGGTGCAGTGGCTTAACAAGGCAAGACTCTGTCTAATAAATAAATAATAAAGAGTTGGGGAGAACTAGAGAAGGTAAAATAAAGAATGAAGGTGGTGTGGGTGAGGTTGGACATAAAAAGACACCAAAAGAGTGAGAGATGGTTACCTGAGAATAGAATAGGGAAATTAAAAATAGACAAAAAGAGGAATCAGCAATGAGATGGAGGAGGCAGAACAGAGGAGGGACTCTCAACAAACAGGAGCAGCTGGCACAACAGAGGGTGCATCACGTACTTGTCAGATGCTTCTTTTATTTTCTAGTTACTTTTTCTTTTAAATTTGTATTATATTTAGTTAAGGTGTCAATGTTTTAAAAATCTTATGTACTAAAAATATTCTTTGATGTTTAGTGAATAACTTTCAGAATTTATGCCCTTGGTAAAAATATTAATTTTTAAATTAACAGACAACATTCAGTAAAACTAGTTTGTCTAACATGCAACAGCTTCTTCTCTCTTTCCCATGTGGCTCAGGAAATTAATGCACAGTAAGATGAAATTTCTAAGTCTACATTCTCTTCAAGTTTCCTTTGCTTTTTCTTAGCAGATATTGAAGAAGGTGCTAGCTGGATATGGAACTTTCTTTCACCAAAACTATCTGTTTATGATGAATACATTGTCCTGAGTTAATTTTATAGCCAAACCTCTATAATATTTCCAATGGTAAATCATTACATCTTTTCAATTTTATAATTTGGGAACTTCAATGTAATTTCTCAAACAAACAGAAAAATGCTTGAAATTAATGTCATTAGAATCACAGAGAAGTCTCTCCTGGTCAAGAGTATAAAATATGATCTGAGACCTTGAGCCAGTGCTGGTGACTCTACTGGCCTGTCTTCTCATCCCTGCCTTCACCAACACACACTTACAGACTCACAAGGCAGCTGAAGAGAGGAGAGCCCAGGCTTTAAACTCAGCACAGAAGAGAGGCATCTCTGCAATGAGAAGGGAACACTGGCTCTGGGAAGAGATTTCAGAGGAGAGAGAATGAAGGTTGGGGGTTAGGGCTCAGATATGGGAGGAAGACTTTGAAGTTCAGGACCAGAAGAAAGAAAAAGCTGTGTGATACTGGTGACCTAGGTCTCCCTTGGTGACTCTGTGCTCACCAGGGACTAGCAGAGACTGTGGGGTCTGTGACTTGAAGGGGAGGATGTGTCCAGCCACATACGCCTGGCTCTCACATAATGTGTTATCTTCACTAAAATGAGATAGTAATTTGGGGGAAAGCATAGAGATATCTCACTTTTTGGTGTTTTTTGTTTGTTTTTGGTGTTTTTTCTTGTTTGTTTGACAAAGGTCTCACTCTGTCACCTGTGCTGGAGTGCAATCATGCAATCTTGGCTAACTGCAACCTCTGCCCTCTGGGGCTCAAATGATTCCCCTACCTCAGCCTCCTGAGTAGCTAGGGTTATAAGCACATGCCACTGAACTCAGTTAATTTTTGTATTTTTAGTAGAGATGGGGTCTCACCATGTTGGCCAGGCTGGTCTCAAACCCTTGAGCTCAGGTGTTCCACCTGTCTTGGCCTCCCAAAGTGCTGGGATACAGGCATGAGCCACTGCGCCTGGCCTCGAAATGAGAGAACCTTTTTTCAACATATCAGTTACTTCCTAATTACAGGATTGTGACATCAAAGAAAAAGGCATATGTGAAACTCTAGTTGTCATACTATACACTGTGAAGTGACTTCTCAGTACTAATCTTACCTAAGAAACAAGTCTGGAGAAAGAGAGAAAAGGAGAATTCAAAAATGGTGCCATCAACCCAGGCGATAGTTATGCTCAGTTGATGGCTCTGTTTCCTCACTGCAGATGTGTTTAGTACTCACTAACCTCTGACTCTGCAGTCTTCTATCTGACATATGGGCTTGCACTCACTCAGGATCCTGTTCAGTCTCCTTCCAAATCTATCTAACTGTCATTTTATGAAATGGCACTTGTGAAAACGCTCTTCATGGGAGATTCTCCCGGGCAGATCTTCATGCCAGACCTGGGTTGAGGACAGGAAGTGGGCTTTGTGGTCAGTGGGGTTGAGTTGCATGGCTTGTTTAGGATGGAAACAAATGGATGTATTTCTGCTTTCTTTGAACCAAAATTAAAGAAACTGCACACCTAATAGTGTATTAATATCCAGGAAGAGCTGGAGAATCTTAGACAAAGAATATTGACAACAAAATACCTGCTAAGCTAGACTTCATCACTCATTTGAAGCTAAATCAAGTGAATCAGTGTTGTTTGAGCTTCTAAATAGAATCCATAAAAAATTCTACAATCACAAATAAAGTCAATTCCATCTTTAAATTAAATTTTTAGTAATTTGTAACTTTGTCGGGAAAAGAAACTCTTCTGGAAGTTGACTAATACCAAAGCCATGCAGGAGGTGAGAAATAATTACTTACTCATGGGCTGAAATTATGACAAGAATATAATATCAAAAATATAAGCCTGTTCCTAACTCATCCTAATTTAAAATAATGTAATTCTCAGTGCTCATTATTGTAGCTTTGTGATGTATTAAGCCATAAAATCTGTTTTGTAAAAATTTCTTGAATATAATTTGGCAATTAATCTGCTAGCTATTTTATCTTCCCAACAAGAGTCAGGAATAACATTTCCAATATTAGTAGATGTATTTCCAGAATACCTTCATGCCTGTAAAACACAAGAATGAATCTAGTTGAATTATCTTATTTTAAAATTAATAAATTTAGGCCTCTTTGACATTGTTTTTTACCCACTAGAGCATATTATATACTTGATACAGATTATAACTAGATGATAACAGAAAACATTTGGCCTTTGTCCATTATGACAAGACGATTTTCTTCATGAAATTAAGGATGAAGCATTCAAAGAAAAGTAACTTATTAACTTTAGTTTTTCACATTAGAAAAATATTATAAACTTCAGTAGTTTTCAGAATTTAGTAGTTTGTTACATTTCTTCTGAGTTTAAGAATATTCTAACACCGCCGGGCGCGGTGGCTCAAGCCTGTAATCCCAGCACTTTGGG